GGCCTTATAGTGTATAGGCCCTGGATTAATATTAAAACAGTACAGCCTTAATACTATAAAGGCGATATCTAGCCGCGATATCACTACTACGTATAGTATAGATTCTATCTTCCGTTAATAGCTTGTAATAGTAGTCGAGGTCCCTGAATAGGGTAGTAGCTCTATAACCTTAATTAGGTATATTAGGCGATAGTTACTACTATGCTTACTATTCGGCTTTAATAGGCGTTCTAATTTAGTAACGTAGTCGTGTTATAATAGCTAGACTTTACGGGCGGTACGGTCGCGAATAACCTTAATACTAAGAAACCACTATAGAGGATCGCTACCTTATAGGTTATAGTGGCGTTATAGATTATTAATAGCCTGCTCTATCTATGCCTTATATTGTTTCTTATAAGTAATAACGATATCGTTAATATAGAAAAACAGGATTAAACCGCGACGTAGAAAATAATATAGTTTTTACGGCACTATCTAAAAGCTATCCGCTAAAAGGATAGCCGAAAAGTGCTTTTACTATAGTAATAGGGGACTCCTTAAGCCTATATAGCGCCTTTTATAGGTGTAAATGGCTCCCCGGGGCTAGAAAGCCTAGTGGCGGGTATATAAAGATATTATACGAAAGAGGTGCGTGTATAAACGCGTTTATAACGTCGAATTATAATAGTATAAGGTTAAAACGGGCGGCGATAGCTATTAACGCGCGGAATAACCGTCCGGCTAGATTTACTATATACGTCTCCTCGAGTAAGGATTAATACTACTAATCTCCTCGCACTATAAGCCTTACCTTATATTTATATAGAAACCTATACTTATCGAACTTATATATTATCACCTATATCGAATTAAGAACCTAATATCTATCTACTACGGATACTGGTACCCGTATCCGCGACTATATCTCCTTATAGCTCCATAGGTAGTCTTCTTATACCTATCGGAATAGGTGGCCGTAAGGGTATAACGGTATATCGTAAGGGTTTTTCGGAGGAGGAGGGAGGTCTTTATAGTGGATCTTTACGGCCGTTAGGGTAACCGCCGGAGTACCCGCCGGAGTAACCGCCAGCGTTATCTTTCCCGAGATAGCCTCCCGGATTATACTTCTGGTAGCTACCGCCGGGGCTATAGAGTCGTAGGGTATTATTAAATATCGCTATAGCGCTATAGGCGTAGACCTTTTTAACCGTAATTTAGTTAGCGGAGTCCTATTTAATATATATATATCCGGGGCGGAACGGCTAGTATTAAATACTATAACCTAATAGTCTCTTTTCTAGCTATCTTCTTATTTAATTAGTCGCGCTCACCTATCTATAGAGAGCCCTATAGCCGTAACTATAGGGGTATCGTAGCACGATATTCCTCTATCTATAAGGAACCCTACGGCTATAACCGTAGAAGATCCACGATTTCCTAATATTTTAGCTGCTATTAGCGCTATAACCGATGGTAGGGTTACTAGTAGAGTAGGAAGTAATGGATTAAGCGGATATAGACTGTAATTAGGCGCTATACCGGCTAAATCATACTATTCGTAACTTAAATCTTATCCTAATTAGCTCGAGATAGCCTCCTTTACCCCCTTACGGCCGGGTATTACAGACTATAGCCTTAACGGTAATAACACCGTCGAGGAGGGGGATCCGGGGGGGAACTAGCCCCGGTAAAGGGTTAAGTTCAAAATAAGCAGTTATATAAAATAGGGGGTCCTTAGCTTATACGTCCGTAAACGGCCGTGAATCTCTAGCCCTCTCCTACTCGATCCAACTAATTAGGTCTTTTAGTTACTCCTCGGTTAATTAACAGAGGTTATCCTTAAAGGCGTTAATATCGCCGTTAAAAAGGTATATTCGTTAAAAGCTATATTGCGCGTGCGAATAGCGCGGTGCTAGCGCCGGCCTAGCACCTAGATACGGAAGATATTAGTAGAATCGCAGCCGATAAGGTAGACGATATAGGCGCGGGGAGCGATACGATTTAATAGCTTATTAGCGCCTTTTTAGACGTCCTTTATTATCGTGTACGCCTTATAGCCGTAGGCTTAAACGTGTGATAAAATGGGCTTCCTTTTAAAGAGGACCTTATATAGCGTTTTCTAATCCTTTTACTACCTTCGTGGTATCCGGTTATAGACGTATATAGCGGTGGGAATAGCCTTAGGCTATATAAACGGCGGTAGTTTTACGTGAATATTTATCGTACGACCCTTCGAGATAATCATGGTAGCAGCGCGTTCGGTACCCCCGTTCTACGCTTAAGTGTTAGTAGTAGATACCTCTAAAAGGATACCCTCTTTACGCAGGAATTAGGTAATATTGTGGGATTAAGTTAGCTTATTATTAGATTCGAAAACGCGCACCTTATAGCCTAATTAGCGGTCTACCTAGGCGAGGAATTCCTTAAGTATTATAAGGGTATCTATTACTAGCTTACTCTTTATAATGTAGGTAGCCGTAAAACTACTATAACGGTCGGTAAGAAATATAAACCGCGAGTCCCCGTCGGATATTCTGTTAAAATCCGTGAAATTAATCGCCTACCGCTCCCCTGCGTAAGTAGGTACGGTGTAAGGGCGCCTACTAATATACCGTTTAATCTGTATAAGCTTATAGGCCTCGTAGTCGATAGTTATTACTCCTTTTATTTTAACCCTCTATATCTGCTCTTCTAGGTGCCTAGGAGGCTTAGGGCTAGCGTGCCCTAGCCGTAGATACTATAAGATACCTTCCGTAGTGCTTAGATAGCGTATTATCCATTTATGGACGGCTTTTCAGGTGGAAGACGACGAAGAAGAGCCTAGAAAAGTAGCCGTAGATTAGTTAGAGGAGGGCACGTATTTAACCACGGTTTAATCGAAGTAATGACTTAGCTAGTATAGTATAGATCTATCGGTATATCGAAGGTAGTTATTTAGTGGCTTCTGATCATACTAGTATCCTCGTAGTCGTAACCGTTAGTTTAAGATTAAATTATAAGTAAAATCCGCGTAGTATACGATATTTAAGAGCCTGAAAGCGAGGCCTCCTATTAGTTCGTTTAATGTCACGGTTATATTACCGTAACCTTTAATAGGTAGCGATAAGCTACCTACGACTATGTAGTCTCCCCATATAGCGGGTATAAAATCAGAAAAACGGGAAAAATTATTAAAAAAATAAATAGTAGCGCCGGAATCGAGGATAATAGAGACTCGAAGAGGGTAACTAGTAGTAGCGGCTCCTACTATAAAGCTAGCGGTGTGGGAGATACTACTAAGGGCGAGTCACGCCTTTTTAAGCTATATAGAATCCCGGCCTATATCCTTCTTCACCTTCTTTATAGCGGGTAGTTCTTTCACTTCCGCGCGTATAGCAGCGTCGTATTTAAGGATCCGGTTAACGGTTATTTTAGTGTTCTCGTAAGGGGTCTAGCCGTCGAACGCTATCTCCGGAAAGATATAGTAACAGGCGTTAATATTATAATACGGCGTCGCGTATACTTAATAGGTTTCCCCTTATCAGAGGGCAGATTAACCTCTTTTAGAAGAAGAACGGTTAGTTATTAAAGTAGTAGAAGGTATAGCTATAGATACCGCAGTAGTAGGATTCTTAGCTTTATTCTTCCTACGGCCGCCCTTCTTACAGGGCTTAGCCGTGGCCTTTAAGGTATCTTTACCCTCCTCGCTTCCGGTATATAGTATAGGGAATACTATAGCGCGGTGGTTACCGCGTTTTCCTTAGTCTTTAAGTCTAGTATTAATATATTTCTGACCAAGGGTATAAAGGTCTTCGGGTATAACTACCTAGTTATCTATAAGACGTCCCTTAGCCTTAGTTTAATAGCGGCCGGTATAGGGGCGTATACCTTTAAAGAAGTCTATAACCTATATATACGTGGCGGGCTTCGAACCGGTATCTTTATAGCTTTATAGTAGTAGCTGCTATTTATCCAACTACTTCCCGAGCTTCTTAAGGCTATTTATAGGATAATGAGTATACTTAATATACTCTTCGTGAGTATTAATTTAGCAGGTGGCTAGGTACTAATCTATATCGCGTTTAACGGCTTTATACACCTCGCGGGGTATACCTCCTTATAGTAGTTATCTACGGCTTTAGTCGATAGTATTAACCTACTAGGTTAGTATAGTATTAATCTCCTTTAGGTAGCTATCGTATTACGCTTATAGGATCTTCTAGCGCGCGATTTCGACGTTATACGCCTTTTAGCCGGTATCCGTAAGGTTAAGATATTACGTAGGGGTACGCCTAGGCGTTATAGAAGGGAAAGAGTCGTAATTCGGTATTATAGGCTCCTCGGGGGTTTAAGTCGGATCGACTAAGCGGAGAAACCACTATACGTTATTATAGGTAGTAACCGATTCGTATAGGCGTCGCCAGAGCTCCTAATCCTTATAGGTTTTATACGTAATATAGCTAAGATACGATGTCTTAATAGTTATTTACAGATAAACACGCTATATCGGCGCGGCTAGGTGGCTTTTAATCGGTAGTAATAAAGGTAGGTAAAATAGGTATATCTTTACTTAGCAAGTAAGACTCTTAATTATTAGATAAAGCGTAGTCAAAATCGTCATAAAATAGGTCAAAATTAATTAAGACAATTATGTACACTTGTAACTGTCTTAGACCGTCAGGGAAACGCTACCACCGTATTTTATATAATGCAGATTCTGCAAGCGTCCACCCGGATTATACTCTTAGTAATCCGGCCTATTCCGTAACCGAAAAGACTGTGGTCTGTTCGACAAGGTCCCCGAGGTCTGAAGCCCTTAGTCAGGCATGGATCCCCCAGGACCACGACGTGGTCCGTGTGCCCATGCGACACAACAGGCTAGGTGAAATTGTTGAACGGAGCCTTACGGAGTGTCCGAAGTCGCAGATGCGCTCGATGACTCAGCCAACCCCAGGTGTTGTTCGGAAACGCCATCGGACCTTGGATGGCGACAGACGCTCTCTGGCCTTCCCATAATAATTACTTGTCCCAGGCCTTGTCAAGTCCGGATTACACCATTTTCTGCATACAATATTTCGTTGGCTTGCCCGCGTCAACACTGCAGTCAATCGCGACGAATTACGGCTTGATAAGTCTTATTGGACACGATATCCACTGACCTAGGTGCTGGTACTTCGCCGTGCCATTCATCTCGTTTTGGTCAGCGTCGCCCTTCCAAACATATTTCCGTGGCAGCTAGGTTCCTTGGTACGGCAAATTTGAACAGCTCCTTGTTGGTGTTATATAAAAGCGTATGTGGCACACCGTTATCCGAGCCTGCTCCATCCAGTACGGAGTACAATGAGCAACGGAAGCCCAGCAACTGCCAAAATGAGTGACCCTCTCAAACGGTTGGACTTGGATGGGCATGAAATGCCGCCCTCGCCTGCCCCGTCCAGCCCACGTACTGGTGGACGGCGCCGTTATGCTCTTGCCACAGAGCTCGTTTACACCGAGACCAAGGACCAGTATGGGGCGTCCAGCATTCCCATCTATCAGTCAGCCACCTTCAAGCAGGCTTCTGCGGCCGGAGGCACCAACGACTACGACTACACTCGCTCTGGTAATCCGACTCGCACGTATTTGGAACGCCACTTGGCAAAGATTATGAATGCAACAAGGGCCTTGGCCGTCGGGTCCGGAATGGGGGCGCTGGATGTCATCACTCGCCTGTTAAGAGCTGGCGACGAAGTCATTACTGGAGACGATCTCTATGGCGGCACCAATCGATTGCTCGCTTACCTCTCTTCCAATCAAGGTATCGTCGTTCACCATGTAGACACCACCAATATCGATTCCGTCCGCCCCGTCATTTCCGACAAGACGACAATGGTACTGTTAGAGAGTCCCACGAACCCTCTGATAAAGATTATCGACATCCCCTCTATCGCGCGGCTGGTGCATGAGGCCAATGACAGAGCTCTCGTCGTGGTGGATAACACTATGCTATCACCCATGCTGTCCAATCCTCTCCACCTTGGCGCTGATATTGTGTATGAATCGGGGACGAAGTATTTGTCCGGACACCACGACATCATGGCAGGGGTGATTGGCGTCAACGATGCCGCTATTGGAGACAAACTGTACTTCACGATCAACGCAACCGGATGCGGCCTGTCACCGAACGATTCGTTTCTTCTCATGAGGGGCATCAAGACTCTTGCGATTCGTATGGAGAAGCAGCAGACCAATGCTCAGAAAATCGCAGAGTTTCTTGAGTCTCGCGGCTTCCGTGTACGCTATCCCGGTCTTAAGTCCCATCCCCAGTACGACCTCCACTGGTCCATGGCCAGAGGCGCTGGGGCAGTATTATCCTTCGAGACAGGTGATGTCTCTATATCCGAGAGGATAGTGGAAGCCACACGGCTCTGGGGTATTAGCGTGAGTTTTGGCTGCGTGAATAGCTTGATCAGCATGCCGTGCCAAATGAGCCATGCGAGTATCGACCCGCAAACGCGTAAAGAACGACAAATGCCAGAAGACATCATCAGATTATGTGTTGGAATCGAAGACGTAAATGATCTCATCGATGATTTATCTCGCGCTGTAAGTCGCTTCCGCTACGCACACCGTGCCTTCTTTTGGACTAACGTATTTTAGTTGGTTGAAGCAGGATCCGTGGCCGTTACCCTGGACGGCTTCAGGGCAACTGGGTCATCTTCATCGGCTCAACAATCAACCGCCATTGACAGCGACGGGGGAGTGTAGCCGCTTATGCGCCATTGTCAGGGTACTAGGCGTCCAGACCATGATATCGTATGTGAGGAGCCCATTGAGCGGAGAGACGCGGTTCCAGGGGTCTTTATCCATGTCATCTCCAGAATCTAGCTTAACCATCCCTTTGCTCTATGTACGTTGGCACATCTCTGCACATCTCTTTCTCGAATTGCGACTGCACTGTAGAATACATCCGTAATATCGGCACTACAGGGGAGACTGTCTTGCGACTGGACCCCATTTGGGTAGACCCGTTGGAATGCGTGGGGTCGAGATCTTTAATCCCGCATTCCAGCTTCACACTTTACCAGGAGTAAGAAGGCACTGAATCTAGAGAGGACGATAGCCTCGGATCAACCGCATCGAGCAGCAAATGACCCATTTGCATTGACAGACGACAAGTAAATCCAACAGCTGCAGTTCTTTAAAATTCATCAAACAACCCTAGAAATCGAATCGGTCTGGAAGAACAACCGGGGCTACCAAAGTCCAGGTGTACAAAGCGTAACACACCCACGCGCTTATAATCTTAACCCAGCTAGCCCAGTAGGTGCGTCCGACAGGTGCGAAGTCCCCATCTTGTTGTGACTGGTCGACACTCATGCCTAGCAGTGTTGCTATCCAAGCCGTGGCCAAGAAGAATATAATGTGGAAAACGCTGTAGGTATACTGCGTCTGATTTCTCTCGTCATCCCCAGCGGCCTGACTTTCATCTTCACCCTCACCATCTGATAAGAGAGCGTCGGCAGGCAAGCTGCCTTCTTCGACTGCACGTCGCAGAGCTTCGGCGCGCATTTCTCGATGAGCGCGAGGCTGCTGAGTAACAAGATCGTGCTCGTCCGACTCAGGAAGACGGATACCTCGTCCGGTACCCAGTCCTAAACTCTGTGTTGCTGCTCGAGTGGTGGTATAAGCCACAGTAAGCATGGTGACAACGGCCCCAATAACGATGGAGGTCGTCCGAGTCCCCTGGGCCCGAACCAGAGGGTTGCAATGCTTGTCGTCCGGCTCCATGGACACGGCCGACATGGTCAGATACGTGCAATAAATTGCGACCATTGCGGCTTGGGCTAGGCCAGCCTTCGGATTATACTCCTGCACAGTCGGGTTGACAGAGATAAATGACGTCACCAACCAAAGAAGGAGGTTGACGGTTATAGCAACTTGGTTCATGGAGCAACCACCGCCAGCAAAGAAGATGTACTGGACGATGGTCATGGCCAGAGAAGCGACGTACATTCCCAGGGTGGATCCAATGAGTACAGTCCTCCAGGCCTTGGATTCGGTTGCGTCGATTTTCTCCAGGCAGTATTCGGCCCATCCGTGGGCGAGATCCACGAGCAGAATCAGGCCGAGTATGAGGAAGAGCATGGCACAGAATAGGGAAACATAGTTCCCCCAAACTTGGAAGAATTCGTCTGGAATCAGGAAAGAAAGCACAATCAAGGAGAGCCAAGCCAAGACTTTGGGACCCCAGTACCCATTCTGAAGCGCAGCACGGGGATTCTTCGACGATTTAATGCCGAAAAGGAGACCAGCGAAGACGAGATGGAAGAGACCCAGGGCGAAGTTAATACGGTTCATAGCGAGCCATCCATGGCATTGGCCCGTAGGGCAGTCGATCTTAACATAGTCGAGCATCAGATGTTCGAGTTTCTTGATGGCCCAAGGTGTAAGCATTATCCATGACAGGGTCGAGTTGACTAGGAGAAGTAGAGCATAGGCGACTCGAGTGGCAACACTGGTTACAAACTGTCAGTCTCAGTCACCTCAGTAAGAAAATGTGGAAGAAATATATGGAAGTAATAACTACCTGTTGCCGCATTTCCCACAAGCACTGCATATTGCCGAACATGTGGCGGCACCACAACAGCTCGCAGCAAAGGTGATAAGCTAACACGCTGTTAATATGAATTTGGATGTCTGAGGGATATTGGGAGCGGAGGAGAAGACTTGCAGTGGTGATACTGGGAACTGCCAGGAGTGGCAAAGAGAGGAGAGCGCCCATCGTGATAGTTGTAGGAACATGCGAATTGGTACGTAGAGTTCAAGCTCATGCAGTTTCAAGTTGACTCGCTGGATGATACAACTCCGTAGGTAGGCAATTACCGGGTGGATCATCCTCAGCAACGTCTACCCCGTCCAGGCTACGGAGCGAGAAGTACCTTACCTACCTATGCACGGAAGGCTATTTTCCGCCGGGGTTTAGCCTTCTATTCCCCACTCCTTTTCGAGTATTTGATCTCCCGCCACAAGTTACGAATGACCTTCTCCTTCTGATTTTCTTCCTTCCCCATCTACTTCGATGAGCATATGTCGTCTCTTTTACTTCCCTACGCATCTAAATCGGTTCCTGCCACCACAGACCTGTCTCTACCACTATCTCAGGTATGACTCTACCCAACGACTCGTTGCCCGCCCGAATGATGTTATCATTCACTGTTTTCGCGACTTCCTGAGCGAAGAAACAAAACATGCACTACCATCTGATCCTTGAACCGGCCCTTGATATTCCCCATTACATACCTGCACGTCACACATGAATTGCTATCTAATTCGCACACCAGTCGGTCGATTGCTGGCGTGTGTCAGCTTTGAAGCTCGGTGTTTCAACTTACCGTTTTCTCCCAATGTAAGTAAATCTCTCGTCCCCTGCTTTATGCCTATCTACTGCCTATTTTCAAAGATGAGACACTTTTATCATTCAGTTCTGCTGCTGAGCGCTGTGATGAGATACCATACCAAACCAAACCCTGATGGAATTCGTTGCACCTCTATCCAAATGTTGTCCTTTTTTTTTTTCGCCGGGAGAACCACGATTTGCTGACTTGGGGCTATATTCAATAGGTTCTCATTTGTACTTGAGTTGAGTGTCCAAACATGCACCCCGAGTGCCCCCATATCTCCTTAGTTGTTAGCTCGTTTGTATTGTACCCATTACTGGGTAATTAATCTCATACACAAGACTATATCATTCCGTCCCAGCAGTTTTCACATTTAGTTGATCTGCTTAATGTACTGTGGAATACTCTTGTCACATAAGCTCTTTGCAAAGCTGTTACTACCTAAGGTAGTCACGCGCTGCTTTGTTACCATGATACAAATAGGGACCGTCTAGAGAGGCACCACGTGTTTTGGCTGGAGAGGCACCTAAAAATGGGCCCGTTCCACCGAACCTATATTTCGATATCGAGGTATAGGAAAAGGTATAAACCTAGCGAGGAATATAACCTCTCGTGAAGTACCCTTGTATTTACTACTAAATATTACGATTCCTGCCTATCCACACCTACCTCCGAGCAATCTATCTTTTACTAGTTCTTTTCTACTATATAATAATAACGCCTAGTAAAGCTATCGTAATCTAAATAACGTTAGTTAGGCAGGGCCGGCCTTACAGCCCGCCCCCGCCGCTAGTATCCTTTACTATATTTAAGGAGACCGATAAGGTCGTAAAATCCTATACCCTCGCTAACGGATATAGCCTTATTATAAAGAAGCGTTCTCCTACTAACAATAACGCGACTCGATATGCCTATAGGTGCGGAAAGGGCTAGTGAAACGTATTAAGGGCAGGGCCTAGAGTTCACGACATTAAGCGCCGGAAAATAAGCTCCTAGATAACGGCGTGCCTGTTTAGTATATCGATTAAGCGCCAGGACGATAATAGCTAGGCTATTTTACTACTAACGAGTATCTAGAGCTAGAGCTATAATCACGATATAGTAGGGGCCGCTATATTCGCGACTTATAGGTCTAGCTAGCTTACTTAACGTCGTAATAAGGTTATTACGATAGTAAATAGTAGTATAGGCCCGCGGAATATCGGTAATAGTCTTTGTTAATTATAGGCAGCTATAGGTGCTCTTACCATAGATATTATAAGTGAAGATATTACTAACTTACTTTTAAGATATCGCCTATAAGAACTTATAAGGCGTACGCCCTTAGAGTAGCTTTACAAGATAAGTATCCTGCCCCTCCTCTTTATTTATATCTAATCGTTGTTATTAGTAATTAAATAATCCCGACAACTTCTACTCCTAAGATAGCTAAGATACTATAGGTCGAATATAATCCCTTTGTATTAGTCCTTATTCTACGATCCTACTACTCTAGTAAGCTCCCGATATTATAATAATAGACTATATATATATAATAAACAGGTTCTATATACCTCTACTTAATATCTACGGCGTTACTCCTTTTCGGAAAGTATTCTCGATTACCTTTATCTTTATGAATAGCGAACGTGAGGCTTAATATGCGTTGGCGATCAAGACTCTCTTTAAGTATATAGGGACCTTCTATTCCAATCTACTACGCTGTATTATTACCGATAAGGAGCTAGCCCTTATAAACGTCTTAGAAGTATACTAAATCTATAGTATAATTACCTATATACTATAGCTCTAGTATATTAATAAAAATATACTAGCTAAGATAAAGCAGTATTTTCCTAAGGTAACACATACCGCCGATAGCAGGATTAAGCGGTACCCTTCTTTCCAGACGTTCCTAAAGGCCTAGCATGCCTTAGTCGTATCGTTAACGGATAAAGAATATAATAAGAGGCTAGAGGAATTTAAGGTCTATAGCAGGGAGCATAAAAGTGCTATAAATTACGCCCTCGATATATAGATCACGCTATATAAATACAAATCGTTACTTTTTCGGTTAACTAGATAGCTAACTTCGGCTACATAACTATATCTATCACGGAGTCATCGCACGCTAGTTTAAAGTTATATCTAATTAATAGTTCTTGCGATTTTATACTGGTTTATGGTAAGCTATATCTTTAGCAGGAGAATTAAAGTCGTAATATATTTCTCGAGAGGGTCAAACGTTCGAATAAGGTAGCGTTCTTAAAGCTAGATCGATCTCTTTAGAGAGATTAGTACTAAGGTTATTCCCTAGGCTGCCTACTTAATGGAAGCTAAGTTATAGCGCTTACTTAAAAGGCGACTAGATTAGCCGCTACTCCTATAGCCTATAAGCGATATCTATGGAGATAGTCATATATAAGCTATTACTACCTTAGGCTTACCTTATAGGTATATTCCATATAACTACGTTTAAGACTATAAATCTCTTAATATCTTATAAATTGATATATGCTAATAGTAGAACCGCCTATCTGCCATAGAATGAGTTAGAAGTATTAGTGGTATCTCGGGCTTTTTAAATCCTCCTCCGCCCCGAGATCCTATACAGGTATATGGAAAAGACAGGCCTAAAGGTAGTATCGCGATATAATTAACGAGTCGTAAAAAGGCCTAGGAAAAGACTAGTATAAAGCGTTTACCCTTGGCGTTTAAGATTACTAAGGTATAAGAACGACTTAAGGTATAACCACCGCCTTTAATAGCTCGTACCTCTATAGGTGCTAGCAATATTCTTATAGTCTATAAACCAGGCACCCTTACGGCGAGGCGCTTAGTAAGATATATCGTCGACCTCGCGGATAAACTAGACCTATTTATAGATACCGCCATGGACTATAATAATTACGACGGAGCCCTGATTTCCACTATATTTAAGGGCGAATTAGATATATAGGTAAGGTAGTAAGAGTAAGAAGTAATAGAGAGAGGAAGTAAAGAAGTATAAATAGTATTGGTTTAGTAGTTATAGTTAATTAAATAGGTTTACGTAGGTTATATAATCGGATTAATATCGGGCCTAAATATTATACTAAGATACTTCTACTAGAGTGGCTTTATAGTACTAGTACTATACCCTGTCTAGGTAAATATCTGGCTAGCTAGTACTATTAGACCTAGAGATTCTAGAGTTTAAAAGGGCGACCTTTACTATAGTAAATAAAGTATAATAAAGATATCTTCTACTAAGCTAAGGGGGAACCCCGCCGAGTATATATCTCTTAGCCGGTCTAGTCTAACTATAACCCGAGTATCTATACCGCGCTACTCTCGCGCGTAGTCTAAGCCCTATATATTTCCTATCTATGTAGAGAGTGCCGGAGCTATACGTTCTTTATCCGCGTAAATAGTACTCGCGCCCTTCGCTTTATAGCTAAGCGAGAAGCATTTACGCTATCCTCGCCAGAGGCGTATTATATACCCCGGGCAATAAAAGCCCTAAGTCCCGCGGGCATTAACCTATATAGAACTAATAGCGCGAGGCATGTAGACTCCTATGCTCTAGGAAGGCGGCGCCGCCCCGTTATAACTTAATGACTATATTCGGCAATAATACACATAATAGTAAGGAAATAGTGGTTATAATAATGTAGTATATTTTGCTAACTTTTGAAGATAGCGGACAAGCGGAAGGCACGAAAGTCACGAAAAGCAGGTGGAAAAATAAGAAGGTAATAATAGGATTATAAGATAGGATTTCTTCACGCGTGAAGATCCAGAAAACAGATTAAGAAGAACAAAGAAAGAAAGAACCGAACCGAGGAAACGGGTTAATGTAGTATAGGCTAGCGTGTAGTCTTAGGGCTAAGGGTAAATAAAGCTAAGTCTCTTATCCACCCAGAGTCGCGACATACGCTAGTATAAAGGGCGTAAACCTATAAATAAATCTTCCTAACTACTACCTTAGTCCGTTTCTTTTTTATACTTTTACCTTTATTACCCTGATTAGAAGTACCGTAAACCTGTCCAGACATATTTCCCCGACTAGAAGACTTTTCCTTATATTTATTATTTATTCTATTTATAAGTAAGCCTAACTACGAGGACGTTATAGAGATATACTATATATATACTCTTTTCTATAATAAGTATAGGTTTCTTTTATTATAATTTCGAATTCTTCACTTTTATTCCCCTAATTACCGTATAATTTATCGGACCTAAGCTAAATTATATCTGGTTTAATATAAGCTGCCTATTCTGCGGAAAGGAGTTATAATCGGGAATAACTAGTATAGGAACGGTTACTAAGGGTATAATATAATTAAGAGAAATACCATTGAAGGCTATAAGCCGTAAATAGTAAATCTCTCCTTTACTAACCCTAGTACTAGTAACTTATTAAGTTATTACGTTCATCTTAATAGCCTGATTTTAAAAGTATAAAGGCCCTCCCCTTTCTATTACTTAAAGCCCCTTTTCCTAATCTCTATTCCTAATCGCTCTCCCTATTACTAATATTATACCCCGATTCCCCTAACCACGCCTATATATATATATATTACCCTTAAACCTACTATCTATAAGTTCCTTATCCGGAAAGAAAAGACTAACACTATACCTATCACCAGAAGAGTAGGTTTAAGACACTAAGTTAACAGCGTTAAAAGCCCCGCTAGAAAAACCTCTAAGAAAGAAAAACGTAATATCACGACAATAACGGCGATAATAATATTAAAAACCGGAAAGTCAGGGGATTCCCTAGCTTTATTAGCCTAATTAAGCGATTACCGGCCGTTACCTATAAATCTTATTCTTCTTATAAGGGCTTTATTAGGTCCGTGGAGTCTATTTATATAGAGTAGAAAACGGATTACTATAAAGAAAAGGAAAAGAGAAAAAGATAAGCCACGAAAAAGACCTCCTTTTATATCTATTTCCCCCCTAATCTTATTACCTAACCCTGCTTTCCTATATAATAGCTCTTTCTTCCCCTAACTACGCGGGCGACTTATGCTTAGAAGCTTATTTCGTTATAATTCACTACCTACTAGCTAATCTAGCCCCGAATACTTTATTTAACTATAGCTACGCCTTTATCCCCTTAATCACCGTAAAAAACACTTATCCCCCCCCTTTTTTTACTCCTAA